AAACCAGAGGTTTTTTTATTGGGAATTATACCAGAAACATACAATAGAGAATTGAAATACGGTACTTGATTGTAAATGTGTTAACAGCAGCTAGAATTGTATTTGCTAAAAATTGGAAAAATGAGAAAATACCAATGGAGGAGGAAGTTATTCACAAAATAATGGAATGTGCTGAAATGAGTAAATTGACATTTGAAATTAGAGAACAGGAAGATAAACAATTTTATAAGATATGGGATCTATTTTATCAGTGGTTAGATTAAAAAAAACATGGAAATGAAAAATGTTAGAGAATGTTATAAATACAAGAAAAATAGAATGATACAAAATATAACATAAAGATATATTATTGGATAAATTTAAGATGATGTAATGAATTGTTATAATATAAATGAATCCAATACCTAGAATATCTTGTTTAAAATGAAGGAATAATAGTGATAGTCAAATGAATGAGGTACGATAATAATGTATACAAATATATTTGATTTGATAATATGATATTTTATATAAATTGTAAGTGATGACTATGGAAAAGATGCACAAAAACCTTATAACCAATTGACATACTGTATGTAATTGAAGATGGCTTTATGTTTTATTTTTGTCTATGTTTGTCTAACAATAAAAACTTTCTTTAAAAAAAGTATTCCAACCTGCGACAATACCTTGAGCACTCACCATAAACATCAACATCTGCCTATCCCAGTCCTTGGAAAGAACAGAATAGCTGGATAAAAATGCCAAATCCAGTCTGAACATCTGGCTGATTGTGCAATGAACTGTAATTATATATATTGCCAAGTCATAAGATTTCATGATTAGAGAAATACTTACTGAACTGGTAATAAGTACTAAGAATATGACTTCAAGTAAGCAGGTTAGGAAGTAAACTTTGAAGGGAATAAACTATGAAACTATGATACCAAAGTTAAAATGACTATGGAGCTACAAGATTTCCAGTGAAAGTGGTTAAAATACGAGAGTGGTAAAGACAAAGACAAGTAAGATTAATCAGAGCTGCAAGCAAGTAATTAAGAGAGTTAAAAAGTTGAGGGCACTTTATGTTGTCTAAAGAATAGAATTTGGAGACAGAATAGCATTTTCCAGCTATTGATACAAATTTGCTAGTGAGGTGGTGGTGGGGAAACTGGCACTTGCTGGCAGAACACAAGCTTAGAGTGAATCCTAAGCTTCCTCAGATCTAACTCTTACTTCCTGTTACTTGTGAAAGTTTAAATGTTCCAGGAATTCAATGGAGAATCAACACACTTGGCTCCCTTCTTCCATTCCACTCGTTTCACAGCAATTAAAATATTTGACTGAATTTTATTACAATGAGATAAAAAGCAACCCAACTGATTTTAGTATGCCTGCATTCTAAAAAAGCATAAGGAAAATCTGATGTAAACTGAGAAAGGGCATATAGTTATCTCTTCTGGGTATTCATCAGTTAAAATAAACAATATTTCTCACAACTGGCTTCAGTAATCTGATTCTTTGGTAATCACTGGTTCTCAATAAAAACAATTGTGGAACTTTCATTTACAAACAGTGTGCTCGAAATAATACAGCAAATAACGGTTAACACTTGCTGCCCAGTCATGATACATACTCCAGATTTTCCTGCTACTATATTCTAATAGGATGGAACAACTAGCAAATTTTTCATGTGTTGACCGACTGAATGCAGGCATTACAATATTACATTCATACCTGTAGGAAGGTCGCCTAGAAAGAATTTCCCTTCGTTTCTGGGTGTCAGTGGCACTGTCCACAGATTCCTGTGAATCTTCACTTTCTGCAATAGTGGAGATCTAGATATAAGAGCATAGTAATTTTATGATTTTAAACATTATTAACAAGGTACTATTTGAAAATCATAAAATCATCTTTATTATATGAATGTTGGCAGGATTAGGAAAACAGAGATTGCGTAGTAAGCAGGATATCATTATTTATTTAAATTAATGAAAGTTTAAGAAAAATTAAGGAACACAAAAAGTAAAATGGAAAAACAGTGATCTTTATTTAAATAAAGAAATAAGCATCTTTTTGAGTATGTATCAGTTAAAACAAAGCACAGTATATCTAACTGCTTGAAAATGGGAGCTTTTCACTCCGTTTCCAATCCTCCCAGGATCGTTCAAACACCTTTCGCCCAGATGAATACTGGAAACTTCTGGGGTGCCTGGTCTCATGCGAGTTCAGGCACCCATCTGGCCTTTGCAGAGAATGGGTGCCTGACATCCCACGGGAAAAGTGGTTGCAAGCTAATGAGGGACTTGGAGCAACGTGAGTTTGCTGCCCCAAAGCCTCACTTTGTGCAAACACTTTTACGCACGGAGCCTGGAAGTCTTTGAAGGAGACTCAATGAGGCAGGGCACGCTCATCCTGCTCTCGCCACTCACCGGGAGCAGGCNATTATAAACTTTCTGATATATACTTGCTATTTATAATACTATTTTACATCACAATTCTTTAAAAAATATCTCAAATCTAGAAATCTAATCTCTTATCAATCAGATTGACCTCGTATCTGTTAACTCTAAAAAGGCCCCGTTAACTACTGGCCCAAAGAAATAAGCTAATCTTAACATCTCCACGAACAATCCATTATTATATTAAACTTGCAAAAACTCCATGGATGGCTTCCATTCTCTTATAAACATGTCCATAATATTGTCTCTAAGTTATATAGTTAATTTCACCATATCTACCAACTCAATCAGTTCCAGTTGATAATCTTTCATTTTATAATTTCTGTTATAATTAATTTTATATATTAATATATTTTCCCACATTTTCTGATTTTCGCAGATAAAACTCTTTTGAACCCTTTCCCTCATTCTCTAATAGGCCTCTAATTCTATTTTAACTTTGCTTCTAATGTGGCAATTAAAGTGACCTTGTTAATTGACATCCCAATTATGTTATCTAGAGTTTTTCAATATTTGGCAATTAATTATTTTAGCTACTTTAAATATTCTTATTTTTAAGTTTGAGACATGGTGCTGTAAATAAATGCAGAAAGCCTAATTCTCGGGAACATTCAATTCTTTAAGTGACAGTATCTCCTCAAACTTTTACCTCAAAAAGTTATAGCTTTATCAAGTTTGTTTTTGACAACCTGTCCAATATTTGGAAGAATAATTTTGATATACACGAGCCCATCTAACTGGAGTCAAGTGCCAGCAATGTATAATCTTCCACTGCAGTTCTTGCATTGAGACAGAGATTAATCCATCCAGTTTTCATAATTTTTGCCAATTTGCCGTACGTATGTAATTACCAGACCAGTATCTTAAACTTCCTTTAAACTATGTGATGGATCTCCTGTCAGTTGCCACCTCACAGTTGCAACCATTCAATATCAGCTAGTGGGGGCTAGACGGGGAGGGGGATGAATCAAGGTTCAATGCACCTCGGTACACCCACGTTACACCTATCCTCCGCGAGCTGCACTGGTTACCGATTGGTCTCCGGATAC